TTTTTTTTTTTTTTGTTTACTCGTGGCATTCAATTAAAAAACAAAAAGTAGCGCGGTGCAACTCGTGTTTTGCAACCTACAAAATGCTTTCTGTGTGATCGTGGCTTTAGAACTGAAGAACTTAACTTAAATAGGAGAAATAATCGATGATGATGAGGCACTGGATCATTTTAGATGGTATTGTGTTGTTGTGTGTTAATGTTTCATCTTTAAATATCATGGACATTATTAATACTTGTATACTGCGACAGCCATTCAAGCTGTAAACACATGCATCAATAAATCAAAAGACCTTGAAGCAACATGAGCTTCATACCGTAGTTTGATTATGTGATCTGTACTTAATAATTTGATGCAATTAAGATGCGCTCTATTTGGCTGTGTGGTGAGATCAGGGCCAGTAAATAGCGTCCAGTAGTGTATGGGACAGGTTGGTGGTAGAAGTTGTTGCTGGTTGCTGCAGTGATGGAGATGCACCCTGCTGGCAAATAAAGAACGACTTCACAGCTGGAACTGCTCACTGTCTGAAAGTATTTGATGAAAGTAATTGATGAAATAACCAGATAGATCTCCTAATTGTTATATTGCCTATTCCTATGTGGGTGCACTGCTTTTAAACTCACTTTGAAGACATCTGATTACACCAATTACTACTTTCTGCAGACAACCTATTAATTCTACAATAAATGGGAAACTAAATAATAATTACAATTGTGTCCATGGTGGACTGCCTAGTAAATATCTGATCTTAATCAAATAGTGGGCCTCATGCAAGAACATTTTCTCATTCTTATCCTAAAACCTTTTTGATTTTAGGTTTGCCTCGCACAAGTGTTCTAAGTCACGTTCACCAAACTCTGTCTGTCTGTCTGGACAAACATTTGATCATCTGAACAATCACTGCCCCTAAAGGGTAACTTCCGAGACGGCACAATTACTCCTACTCATAGTCTCAGTATTATGTGCATCAAAGTGTTGTAACATCTAGTCCTAAACTGAACTGGAACAGTGAAAACACTCTTTTGTGAGTTTTCCTTCCTGTAGACTTTGAATGAAGTGTGTTTCACAATGATAAAATTACTGCTTATTTAATTGGGATCTGGTGGGTGATTTTGGGGCTGTCTCTGAATAAATGAAAAGGCTCTTACTCTTTAAGAAACAGGTCTATTTCTGTAGGGATCCTTTCCATTATGTTGTCGGACACAAAAGAACAATCTGAGCTTGTCAGTTGCAAAAACAAGCCCTTCTAGTGGACGTAAACTGAAGGTGCGAACATGCCTCAAGTGGTTACATTGCAGCCTGTATTGCGGCTGTCGGCTGCAGCACTCTCACTCAATACTGGACCAGTTTCAAAAATTGTTGTTCCCAAAAGTTGCAGAAAATAGGTTCCAGTTTGAAAAATAACCAATTTTAAAAGTTGCTATATAAGGCCACCTGTTCCATCCGGTTTCTGGGAAAGTTTAATTCACAAAAATGTTCTAAAGAGTCAAGGGAAGAATTTCACACTTCAGAGCTTCAAAACCTGCTGTCAGAATTCAGCAGATCAAACAGTATAAATTTAGCAGTGTCAGTATTAGAAAATATTAATACAGCTGCCAACTTTGTGTTGTCATAGCAGTGCTTTGCTGTGACAGAAATAAAGAGGGAAGAGAGTATCATACAGTAGGTGATGTCACACCGTCAGCTGTTATAATGGATTCATTATGTCCCCTGACAGCAACCTGCATAAAGAGCTGGAATGAAAGGGTTTTATGTCTGTTCATGACTTGTGTGACTGATCTGAACCACTGAATTTTGTTTGCAACTGCTTGTAGAGACAAGCTGTCTTATATCACTCGTCTGCGGCACTCTAGAATAATGTTGTTTGTAAAGCGGTTCTTCCATGAGGCCCACTGACTTGATTTGACCTATTGCTCTAACTTTAAACAAACATACCTTAGAATGAACATTCACCATAATCATGGCTCCGAGCGGCCCTCCTCTCAAGCTGAGAGGCACCGATGCCTCATACCGACAAATCTCGTCCAGCAGGGGGCGTATCTGGAAGAAATCCACCTCTCTCCGCAGCAGCGCCAGCTCCGAGAAGCCATCCGGCAGGTCCAGGGAGCTGGAGCGCAGGTAATTCAGAATGTACCTGAACACTTTCCCGTCACGGTCTATGAAAACATTCCCTCTGTTATCTCTGAGCAGGGGGATTTGTCCGGTGAACATAGCGCCCAGCATCGAGTCCCGACAGCGTGTCAGAGTGTCCAGGGTTGTTGTGTAAATTTCTCCACCGACGTTCAATGACACTGGGTCCTGGAGGGAGTTCCTGTTGCTGTTGTCGTCCGGTGAGTTGAGGTTCAGCATCTTGGAGGCAAAGCTGCGGTTTCTGTGATCCTGTAAATTCTCTGATGTTGTTATTGGGAGGATAAGGATCCTTGTGCTCTGGTCAGGAATGCTGAGGACTGAGGGATGTGGAAGTTTCAAGTGCTTCTTTTGTTCCCAAGAAAGACTTCTTTCCTTAGACAGTTAGAGCGCCACAATAGTAGCCTGGATACGGCCGAGTTAGGAAAGATGCGAGGAAATCTGCCAAGGTGTGTTTCCAAAGCTGAAGATTTATAAAACACAAGTTTCAGACATATAAAAGGCTGCTGCTCTTTCCCTTCTCATTGCTGCGTCAAAGCAACGGCATTATAAATGCAGGTGTTTCCATGATTTTTCTGCGGTTAAATGTGCGTCGTTGTTGATGTATCTCCTGCAGGATTCTGAGTGGTGTCAGCTAACAGCAGGCCTACAGTCTGACTGGGTTAAAGCAGAAAGGCAGAAGGGCCACAGTGACCAGACCAGCATGCTAATAACTGGACACTTCTGGCTCCACGAAGCTCGCTTTTATTCTCAGCTCATACCCCCTGATCTCTCCCTCTCACAAACACACACACACACACTGGAGCTGTCTGAGCAAGACACGGGGGACTGGGCAATTTGTCTGAAATGCACCCCTTAAAGTGACAGACAGAACACTGAAAGTGCTGTTATCCCCTGTGAACAAATGAACAATGTCCTCAGACACTTTTAATTTCAAATGCCCTTCAGAAAGCAAAGATTTTCCACAAAACAGAATCATAACAAGAGAAAAAGTTCAATTTCCCAACTGTACAACAGTATTATGTTGCAGGATGAGAATAATTAAGCTAAACCTGAAACATCTAGTGGCTGTCAGCTGTAATAGTTTGGGTCACAAAAGTGAAAATAATTTCCAAAGTCTTTTTTCAGCAACCTGCAGAATCACAAACTGACCTGCTGCTCTATCGTTAACAAGAAACACTTTACATTCAGTAACCTTCTGTCTCTGTCAGTAATGTCATCTGACAGTAGCAGTTCTCAGATTTTCGGACTAAATTAATCAACAATCCACTGAGAATAGACAAGCAGCAAAAAAAACAAAACAAAAAAAAAAACAGCCCCGACAAACTACAGGTAACCCAGAAAAAAAGGCCTCTCTGTTATTTTGTAGACTTTGCTATGTAGTTATATTGTTGTGGTCTTGTGTAATATTTAAAAAATAATAGTAGTAATAATATTAGTAAAAAATAGTCAAGGATAAACATTTTGATTATATTTCTTCCCCCATTTGTGGCGTCCCCTATGGATGACAGCAATGTAGCATTCGCCTACTGCTTATGCAAGGCTGCCACTGAATTGAACATGCGGCAACCTCCAGGGCTGACAGCTGAACCCAGCCACAAACTGCAGTTCCTCAAATGGCCACTTGAGGCTGGCTCCAGAGGCCAGTTAATTTCCATGGACCTCCATAGTGAAGTGCTCAACTTTACAGCAGAAATACACATTTACAACCTGGTGCAAGAAACGGGTTCAGTCTCTACAGCTATATTGTTGTTGTGAGATTGTTGTGCAAAGCTGCCAAGTCTCACACGTTTATCGAAAGTCTCACACAACTGACACTTTACACACACTCTCACGCCACACATCCATTTTCTCACACAATGACAAACAAATTCATAACTGATAATGCTGATAAAGTGTGAGAAGAGGATACTGACAGCGTACGGGCAGACAAGACAGAGCAGCACAGCAACAGCAACAACATAAAACACTACAGTAAAGCCACCCATTGCTTGGATTCTGATACACATTTGTGGTGTTACCGGTACATGGAGCAGTCGAAAAAGAACAAAAAAAAAACACATTACAGTAATATTTAATTAGACATCATGTATTAAGTAAGTTTTGTTGGATATGTGATGTACCCAAAGAAGGCCCGTTATGAGGAAAAAACTACTGAATTATTGTGCTTCACAATTGATTCATGTCAGCTGAGATTACATAATAACACACTGACAATTTCCTCACATATTTCACAACTAAGAAAACGTTGCAGCAGTTTAATTTGGGCTTGTTGGATTTCTTTCAGTCAGATCCAGACGTAGCTGTGGTGGAGGTGCAGGAAGAGGGACAAATACACTGAATGATGTGGTTAAAAAAAAGTTGGTGCATATAATTTCAAAAACATGCACCTGTGTATACACACAGAAAAAGTATTTTATGCCCTGCTGCAGGGCAGTCAACCATCTTAATCTTCCTCCACGTATTCACATAAGAAATATTACCACACAATCCAATGTTTTAGCTTCTCCACCCAAGCCAAACCCCAACAGTGAACAGTATTTTGGTGAACAAGCAAGTGAATCAGCTTCCGAATGATTCACTGCTCTGCAGCGGAGAGAACAGGAGAGGTTCTGTTCAAAAAGACTGGGTTTACAGTGGCGTGCAAAAGTTTGGGCAACCCTGGTCAAAATTTAATTTACTGTGAATAGTTAAGTGAGTAGAAGATGAACTGATCTCAAAAATGCATGAGGTTACAGATGGAACATAGAGAAAAGGTGTGCTTGAAGAAAAAAAGTGCAGACTTTTTATGAACCTGTCCAACTGTTAAACACGGGGGTGGATCGATCATGCTTTGGGCTTGTGTTGCAGCCAGTGGCATGGAGAACATTTCACAGATAGAGGGAAGAATGGATTCAGTTAAATGCCAGTAAATTCTGGAAGCAAATATCATAGCATCTGTAAAAAAAACTGAAGATGAAGAGAGGATGGCTTCTACAATAGGATGATACTAAACACACCTTTAAATCCACAACAGACTACCCCAAGAGGTGCACGCTGAAGGTTTTGCCATTATTGAAAATCTGGTGGATAGACCTCAAAAGAGGAGTCCATGCAAGAGGGCCCAAGAATCTCACAGAGCTAGAAGCCTTTTGCAGGAAAAATGGGCGGAAATCTTCCAAACAAGAACTGACAGACTCTTAGCTGGTTACAAAAAGTGTTTAGAAGCTGTGAGAACTGCCAAAGGGGGGGGACGTACTGACCATGCAGGGTGCCCAAACTTTTGGTTCAAGTCCTTTAGCTTTTTTGTCATTTTGAAACTGTAAAAGACTGAAATTAAAAAGTAATCTTGCTTAAAATATTGGAAAAAATGTGTCTTCTTTAACTTCATTCCTTACTAAACCATTCACAGTAAAAGAAATTTCGACCATGGGTGCCCAAACAAACACAGTCCTAATACGAGAAATAACTAGATAAGATTTGCTGAGAAGCACAATGGATTCAAATCAGCTCAGATTACACTATAACACACCGACAATTTCCTCATTTATTTCACAACTAAGAAAACATTGCAGCAGTCAGATTTGGAGTTGTTGGATTTCTTTCAGTTGGATCCGACCATAACTGTGGTGGAAGTGCAGAAAGAGGAACAAATACACTGAATGTTGCAGTTAAAAAAAAATTGGTGCATGGAATTTTAAAACTTACATGCACCAGTGTATGTACACGGTGTACCAGTGTATATACACAGAAAAAAGTATTTTGAGCCCTGCTGTAGGGCAGTCAACCATCTAAATCTTCCCCTAGATGTTCACAAAAGAAACATCACCAATATCATCAGTGTTTTACCTTCTCCAACCGAGCCAAACCCCAACAGTGAACAGTACTTCAGTGAACAAGTGAGTGAATCAGCTTCTGAATGTTTTACTGCTCTGCAGTGGAGAGAACAGGTGGCTGGGATGATGGTAATGCTAATGCTATGTGCAGGAATGAGAGAGAGAGAGAGAGAGAGAGAGAGAGAGAGAGAGAGAGAGAGAGAGAGAGTGGTTCTGTTCAAACAGACTGAGTTTCTAATGAATGTCTGTTGTATGACTTACACACTGAAGACATTTACTGACCAACAACACCTCAGAAGTCTTGTCCTCATATTGAAGTTGCCAGCTTTGCATAGTTTCACTCAAAAAACAAGCTAAATCTTGTCTGTATTGGCAACTAACTTACGGGATAGAAGACAACATGTAAAGGAGGCAACTTTGATGTTAATGAGAGGTGTATTTTTTATTTTTTTAGTGGAGGCTAGCTAGTTTGTTTATAGTGTGTCTGTGCTAAACTACACTTAACCAGTCCTGGAAAATTTTACAACTGAATACATGTAGATGACATTTATACTGTTCTTTTCCTCTAACTCCCAGTAGGAAAGCCAACAAGCTATTCTGAAAGTCAACGTGATGTCACAAGACCACTGCCATCTTTGTTTGGGGGAAAGGTGGTGTGTACGCTCTGGCCTGTACACTGCAATGTCTTGAGTGAGTTCCATTTTGATGAAGAATATTGAGGCAAACATGGTGTTTGACTTTTTGATTGATACCAATGGATGCCTTATGCTGTCTTACATCAAATGACTTCTCAAGCAATGTCATTGCCAATTTTCATTTTGACAGTTCTTCAATATCAAAATAAAATCTTGAGTTTTGCTGGAGCTGGTGTGCTCTCCTGTGATCTCAATGGTTCATTGTAAAGTGATTATAAAACTAAGTCTGAGCTGTCCTAAATCAGTCTTTTTCTCATCCTGACATTCCGACAAAATCAAAATGTTTACTATCACAGTAAGGTCTCAGTCTTGGCTCATGCAAATAGTGAAGTTCAATGATGTGAGCATTGTCAACAACCAATAGCTGTGCTCTCTCCAGCACCAAACAGGAAGCAGCAAACCGGGTAGACAGTAAACACGGAGGGGATTCTGTGGAGGCGCAAAAACATGATCAAGTCTCTGTTCTGTTGTACGGTGGAAAAGGAGGAGAAACTAGTGGAGCTATGGTGTGAACAAGCATCCGTGTTTAATTGGGTATGTATCTGATCCATCCACCATCCAGTACTTAGTGTTGTGAGAAATTTTAATTTTTAGTAGAGCAGCTACCCAACTTTTAGCAAATTGAGGCAACAAAATCCAAAATGTATAATTTGTGTGCAAATACAGTTTATCTTTACGGATGATACTGATGCTGATTCACAAGAATACTGTCAACATATGATGCCTCTTATTGTGTGTTTCTAGAGTAATGTGTTTGTGGGGACACAGAGGGAATTGTCAAAACCTCATATTTCTTGAGGGGAGCTAGGCATAATATTTATCCAACAGGAGCAGGATGGGAAATAGTCTGAAAAGGAATCCAGTTGTAGTCTTGCAATTAGTGATCCTGCAAGAGCTCCAGTCTTTGCAAAATCTGTGACTGAAATCTCACATTGTCTAAAGATGTGAGAGGGTGTCAGACTTAAGTCTTCTCAGAGTCTGTCCACAGTCTTCTAGTGCAATGGTTCCCAACTGGTCCAGCACTGGAGTCCAGATTTCTCCTTAATCATCAGCTTAAGGTCCACACAGTTTAATATGTTCAGCGTCATACTTGTATCTGGCCATGTCAGCAAGCTAGTCTGCTGTCTCTGTCCAGTAGCTGTCCATTAGTCACTCACTCTACAGCAGGAAACAGCACTTAAAAGCTTTGTGCTGGAAATTCACTATACTTAAGAATAAAGTGTTTTTCACAAACTTGACACATTTGCAATTCACTTGTGAGTCCCTTCTCCATTCGGAATGGACCCGTGACCCATTTTGGGCCGTGACCCACCAGTTGGGAACCACTGTTCTAGTGTAAGGTAGCCATTAGTTGTACAACCAGTCACACAGCAGCTCTTCGGCATGTTGTTGTGTTGATGTCACAAAGGAGTCCATCTTAATTTGCCACTTTTCCGAGCAGTTCTCTGCACTGCTACAAACTGTACTGGAAGTGATCTTTCCCTAACACCACAGCCCCTTGGAAAAACAGACTGAAAGTTGATCTCTAACAGTACACAATGTATGGGTGCATGAAATTGTGTGTGTGTGTGTGTGTGTATGTGTGTGTGTGTGTGTGTGTGTGTGTGTGTGTGTGTGTGTGTTTTAACCTGTATGTGGAGTATAGTCCTGTCAATAGCGTGGGCCTGCAGCATAGTGACGGTGCATCCACCGAATCCTCCACCGGTCATCCGACTGCCAAACACCCCCTCCACCTCCATGGCTGCAGACACCAGCTCATCCAGCTCCCTGCAGCTCACCTCATACAGGTCCCTGTCACAAGAACATCAAGTTACCACACACCTCAAACATTCTGCCACCCTCAACAGTGATGTGACACTGCTGCTTTAACTGTACCTGAGGGAGTTGTGGCTCTCCACCATCAGCTTGCCAAACTCTTTGTAGGCTCCTCTCTTCAAGGCTTCAGCAGCTTGTGCAGTTCTTTCTATCTCCTCGATCACGTGACGAGCTCTTCGATAGGTTACATCATCCAGTTTGTCCTTTGCCTCTGAAATGACAGAGAAGGTCAAAACTTCACACTACGTCTGGCTTCAGTAGGCTTGAATAGTACTGGACGTTATAGGGTAAGGTCAGTATTTTTCAAAATGGACTTCCCATGGAATTGCCATGTTTCCGTGTCTAAGTGACTTATGGGATCAACAATTTTTGAAGCTGGTCCAGTATTGAGTGTGAAAGCTGCAGCTGGCAGCAGTGAAACAGGCTGCAATGTAACCACTCGATGCACTGGTGCAGGGACAATTCACATCAACTAAATGTGTTTGTTTTTGCCACTGACAGGCTCAGATTATTATTCTACGTGTCTAACATTATGGAAAAGATCCATACAGAGAGTGTGAAGAGTAAGATCCTTTTTGTTTAACCAGAAACAACCCTAAAATTGCCATCGCCAAACACACCAAACTCCATTCAAATAAAGAGCTATTATAGTGTATGTAGAGCCGGCATATTTAAGTGATTGTTGGAATAGTAAAAAAACATACCAAGGTGGTTTTTGTGAGTTTTATTGTGTTTCCGACAACTTTGAAAAAAATGTGTTTTACAATGATAAAATTAGTGTTCATTTAAATAGAGTCTGGTGTGTTTGGCGATGGCAATGTTGGGGCTGTTTCTGGTTGAACAAAAAGGATCGTACTCTTGAACAGAAAGCTCTATCTCTGTAGGGATCCTTTCCATAATGTTGTCAGACACCTAGAATAACAATCTGAGCCTGTCAGTGGCAAAAACAAGCATGGAACGTTTTTATTGTTGTGGCTGAAAAATGTTGAACTTACCCTTTAAACCTCTGAAATTAAAATTAATTTCCTTTCGCATTAAATGCTGTTTGACTTTCTTGTGAGAAAAAAAAACTGAATCCAAAAGGTAGAAACAGCTTCTTTTGCACAGAGCCAATCAAAATATTTACTTTAAACTGCATTTCCAAAAAGTAATACTCATCACTGTTCTATAACTGATGTGATCTAACTGACAAGCAGAGAGCAGTCTGTGACACAGACACAAAAGAAACCACAGAAAATATCACTCACAATTTTAGCAAATTTCGTTAAATTTGACAAAATAAAATGCAAATTATATATTTAATATACCACATGAAATATACTTAACAAGATGTGGCAAAATCACATAATAAAGTAGGCATCTGTATCCCTTTTGCTGCTTCCCACCTTAGATATCACTGATGTTTTCTCAAAAATGTAACTAGAATTACCACCTTATGTATGCCTGCGTAATCCCATCAAGCTACAGTTACAGTTTACATCCATTTCTGTGAAAACATGGATGCTTCACACACATTTTAACTTTTGGCAGCACAGAAAATCTATACAATCAGCAAAATTCAAGGTGGACACCCAAGGTTAATGTCAAATGTGTCCCCCCTTCTGGTCCTGAGTTATGACATTGATTAATGGCCAGAAAAGTGTTTTTGCAAAACATCATGATGTCACAGTGAAGTTGACCTTTTACCTTTGGGATAAAAAAAATGTCATCACTTCATTATTTTATCCTTTTAGACATTTGTGTGAAATTTTGTGATAAGGTCATAGTGACCTTGACCTTTCACCTTTGACCTCAAAAATGTTATCATTACAATGTCGACTCCAAGTGGACATTTGTGTAAAATTTGAGGAAACTCCCTCCAGGCCTTCTTGAGATATCACATTCATGAGAATGAGATGGACACAACACCGCAGTGATCTTGACCTTCCAAATGCTAATCGGTTCATTGTCGAGTCCAAGTAAACATTTGTGCCAAATTTGAAAAAAAAAAACAACAACCCTCAAGTTGTTCTTGAAATACAGTGTTCACAAGAATAAGCTAGATGAGGTCACTGTGACTTTGACCCTTCTGTTGTGATCTGGCGCTATATGGAAAATAAAATTAATTGGACCTTCAAGGGGGGGCGGGGCGCTCCCCTAATATAATGGTAGGGGAAACACTGCATAAGGTTAAAAAATTTTAGGAGCAGGGAGGAGAATGTTTAAGAGACCTCAGGGTTTCTTAAGCAGAGGAGAAAATGGCAGAAAGACTAAGAGTGGGGAGAAATATTCTCCCAACACAGGATGAGAGTGAGTCCATTAAATGCCAAAGATTAGACGGTGCAGGGATGTTTGTGGTCGACTTAATTAGAGATGCACTCACGTCTCTCACCCAATGCAGTAACAATTTAACACCAGAAATAAAGTGATCACAACACTAAGATATATGAAAAACTAGAAAAAAACAATCACAGTGCAGCAGTGATGACTTGGGTCTGTCTCAGCCTTTCATCAGCAAACAATTACAGCACTTTTATAGTCTCATTATGTGATATTGTTAATTCCATTTCCACTGGGTGTCCACACTTTATAGTCTCACAAAAGGGCACGTCTGTAACAACCAATCACACCTTTTACAAGAATTCATCACACCTAGCAACTGGGTCAACCACAACTCCTCACATCAGTCCTAAGCTAGGAGTCCTTCCGACAAAGTTTTAGGCGAAGTTAGGAGCATATCTTGTAGCTTGTCTCGCTAAAAAGCTAATAAACAAATAGCCTAAGGAGACGTGTATTGGCTAGAGCCACTTTGCAGAATGCAGCACAATTGACCATCTTTAAATGTACCTGGAAATGTCAGTGTAGATGGCGATGGTGATGAGGGATGTTTTTCTGTTTATTTAGTACCATTGCTAACATACCACTGCCTGTCCTTAGTGGGCTAGTGGGTAATGTTAGCTGCATGAGATTCTAGAGATTCAATAGCCTGAAGGCTGAAGGGAAATTGCTGGCTGAACTCTGAACAGATCCAGGGTAGCACTAGATCACTGGGATAGAATAAGCGGTACCAAACACCAGGAGACAGGGCAGGAAAAGACATAATCACATCAATGAAATGAAAGAAGGCAGGAATCAGAACGGCACGCTAGCCCCGAACAGAGCAGGACAGGGAATAATAAAATAAGACAGAGTAGGACAGAATGGATCAGCAGCACAGGATAATAAAAAATGTACTTCGCACCCTCCAGGTCCTTCATCGTTGCATCTCTAAGACTGTCCTTTCCCAGGATGGAGGCAGCCTCCTCACACTGTCTGCGTCTCGTGGGGTACTCACTGCCGGTCAGAGAGTGCTTCACATTGGAGTTGGTGATGAGAATGACCAGGCCTGGATCTGAAAGAGGGACAGGGGTGGCCTCCAGGGACCTGCGCCAAACCACAAAGAAGAACATGAATGACAATGATAGATGGAAACATGTCGTATTTCCTGTCTTTGAAAGTGTTTTGCCAAAAATGCAAAGTAAAGCCTAATAACTAACAACAGACAAATCTGTCATGTCAGTCTTACAAGAGACTGTTGGATTCATCTACTCTCATTAGATGTTTACACTACCTGCAGTCAATGAGCAAAGCATGGCCCTCTCTGCCGAGGACAGACACAAACTGATCCATAATGCCACAGGGTACACCAGCATGAGTGTGTTCTGCCTTCTGACAGGCCACTGCTTTGGATACCTTGTCTCCGTCATCTGAAAGATAAAGAAGGATGGAGATTAAATACTAAAAATCCAGGCTGATACACCTGAAGATCAAAGAAGATCAAAGGGTTGTAAAAATGAGGTCCTTTATTGAATTTTGAGCATTAGCTGAACTTAAGGTTGTAATTAAGCAGTATCAGCGTATGGCAACACTAATACATCAGTTTCATGCATCCCTACAAGATTCCATGTCTTTTCCAAAACTTTCATTGATTTTTTACTAAATCCATGACTTTTCCAGGTTTTCCATGACCATGGGAACCTTGCAAAAAAGATCAAATTCCCGGGTATTAAATTCCCCAGGTCTTCTGCATCCTGGGGCCCATACAGCAAGCGCACTAGACTTTCGCGAGCCACACTGCTAACTTCCGGTTTAGTCCTCCAATAACTTGAATGCAGATAAAATGACTTCATTGTGCAGCTTCTCCAGACTTCTAAAATATTATCGGACCAAATTCATCAAATCCCGATAGTGAAACCAGTCAATTTGCAGGGGTTGTGATGCTTAAATTAAGTATCCACTGATTTACAGGCATCTCTTTCACATTGTAAGTCTATGGGAAAAAGTCTTTTTGGGCCTAATGGCATCACGTGATGGACCTGGAAGTTTAAATTCCATGTTTGGCCACTACGAAAATTGGGCTCAAAGCCCAACGTACAACCTTGGGACCTGGGCAACAATTATAAGCTGAGCTGTATGTGTGCTACATAACTAGTAACTAGCGCATACTAGGGCCTGTCGCTGTTTGCATGCAGGGGGGGCCCACTGTAACTACCTTACGCCACTGAATATCTGAGTCACACGGGTCTGACTGTCTCTGTATTCAGACTCTGACCTGGCTTCAGTTGCTGCAGGAATGTGTAGAAAGCCACCTCCAGAGAGGCAGAGCTGGACAGACCTCCACCCAGGGGGACACTGCTGGCAATCACCGCCCTGAACCCTGGGACAGGAGGAGCTGAAGCATACCAGACACAGAGAAAGTAGACATTCAATAAATATCCTGTGGTGTCCAACCGAGGCAGGATAAAAGATGACATTTGTGAGATTAACAAACCTCTGCTGTGCATCTGTTTTCATTTATTTTGACAAGACTAGATTTACTGTATTAGGTGAAAAATGAAAAATATATAAGAATTCCTGGGGCTGGTTGCACAAATACCTTAAATTAAGATTTTCCTTTAAGTCCTGGCTGTGTTTTCCTCAAAATAAAATCAATTGCACAAAACACCCTAAGAGTTCTCCTTAAGGTTTCCTTAAAATGTTCAAGAAAGCATTTATAGTTTTCTCTTTGTCTTGGTTTTATACTTAAGGAATCCCTACACCGTTGCACAAAAGACCTTAGCAACCAAAGCAAGTTAAAAAAACAAACAAACTTAAGGCACCTCTGACTCTATCTTAACTGAGGTTATGGCAACAAATGAAAAAAAACAACACACCCTGAGAAGAGTGTTGGATACGCTTTTCATTTTATACTATAGAGCTGACTGAAATAATTTCCATTGCAATTTCTTCTTACAATTTTCCTCCTCTGACCAATATGGTTTTCTTGTCTTCTTCTACCATTTTTTCACTATCTAACTGTAACCCAACTTTGTGAGACGATAACAGGCATCACAAGCGTGGGTCCATGCAAACAAACAATCCCCAAGGAAACTTTTACCGCTGTAAAATCTCATTCAACGCAGTAAATGAGTTAATGTTTTACCTAAACCATTTAAGGGATTCTGTACAACAGTGTAAGTCCCTCAGCTAAGGAAAAGAAAGAAGAAATTACACCTTCAGTGCCATACTTTAGGAGTTTTGTGCAACCAGTCCCTGTAGTATATAATAGTGATATTTATTGAGAATTATAATACCTAATTAGGATAAATTCCAGGCAGTGTTTTTACAACTGTGGATACAGTCATTGCCCATTTGTTTACCTCTGTAATGCTGTATAACACCCTTCACATAGTTTGCCCAGGTGGGTAACCCTGGAGACAGTGGCGATCCATCACTGGGCAGGCTGAAGTCCACCCTCCGAGGCTCATCAGCATCCTCTGTTGCTGTTACTATGGTAACATCCAGGCCTGAGGTTTGACGACCTACCACTACAGTCACCAGGGGCAGCGCCTGGCACACAAAACACAGACAAACACAGCTGGGCGCATGTCTTCCTCTGTCAGAGAGGGAATATGCCAAACTCCATTTAAAAAAATAGGACATATAACGTTTCCTGCTTATTAGTGAAACATATGTAAAACTTAAGTTCATGTGTCAAACCTTTCTGGAGATTCTGCTCTTCTGTTTAATTCGGCATGCAAATAATACCAAACAGGATATGACATCAGGATATTTTGAACCACAACGCCACACAGCCGACTACAGAGCAGTGGGTTTCATGAATGCACATGCCCGCGTTAAAACAATAAAATGAAAGATTTTTTAACGACACTTTGTGTGACAAACTTCACCCTCACCACATGGGTGCGCTGTTTGTCAACAACAGAATGAGTCATGAGTTTACCATTGGAAGTACAAATCCCTGGTTGTAGTCAGTGTGCTCCCCTATCAGGTTGACTCTTCCAGGAGCACACACCGCCGTCTGAGGAGCCTCTTCACCGAACACCTGCCCGTACAAACGCCGAGCAGCCGCCACCAGCTCGGAAACACTCGGGAATGAAGAGTCCATCTCTACCGTTACTTCAAACACAAATTATATCAATGAAACATGCGCGCGAAATCCACCCAAATGATAAAAGAAGCTTGCAAGCTAACAAAATGCTACGTGCCGGTGATGTGAGAGGTTGTATGACATGTTTGACAAGTCACCATGTCATGTGCTCTTCACTTCCTAGAGTGCATGTAGTTCATTGTGAGGCTCTGATTGGTGGGAAGAAAGTCACATGACACAGCTTGCTCTGCACGTTAGACTTGTTTAATCGAGAAAGAGGCGTAAGTATGGATCAATATTTTAGACTTACCCCGGAAACACACTCATTCCATTTCTTTATGCTTGTCTTAACTTTCACTCCAAAGCAGCTACCATGCTTTCCTTACTAAGCTCCTCATTTCCTTTGCATTCCCTTCCAGTGGTAATATAACCGGTTACCTGCACTCTACACAGAGGGAGAAGATGGAAGGGGAAAAAACATTAAAAGCTCAGAGATTATGGGTGGAGCTCTCTGACATCCCTGGCATGCAGTTGGTGGGACACAAGCAGCATCTGCCCTTAGGCTTTAATCTGTGGTTGGAAAAGCAGTTTGATGCTGGCACCTGGTGGCCGATGTGCTCAGACCTCAGAGGTGTGGAGACTCTTCTGCAAACAACAGCAACAGCTTCCCAAATCGTGCAAACACTGAACAGTTCACCTTTGACAAAAGGCATAAACGATGCAGCTGCTGATTGCCCATTGGCCATGATGGGGCCCCCTCAAAGGAGCAAATTAGAAATGTTTTGTCATCTTTTTTTTTTTTTTAATAATAATTTATTTGTTTAAGAAGGGACAGTGTACATTAATGAACATTCCTTTTAAAGAAAAAAAAGAAGAAAATGTAGATGCACCCAATTGCAGCCAAGGGCTTTACATTGGTAGTCCCCCTGCCAGATGTTTGTCAGCGTAGTTCCTAAAAAATAATAAAAACTCAATACAGTACACATAAAATATGTAATTACAATATAAAATACAATAAAACACACAACAATCTTATCATCACAGTATAAAGTCGCCCAGCGACACATAACAGTGACATTGCATACATCATGTTGCCTCCAGTGACTTAAGTATGTGTAAGCTTTATGCCTTGTTTCTGGATGCAACCAAGTAACAAGCAGATGGGGGAGAAGTGGCTGTATGGGGTGTGTGGATAGAGTGTGAGCCTGTAGCAATGCAGGTCCAGTCCAGTCCAGTACATAGTTCTTGTTGTAGTTGTGATCAATTGTGATGGATAACAGTAGTAGATGTAAGGACAGTGGGGGTTAAAGTGCTGGAATAATGGAGAACAACAGAAGTTAAAGTGCTGTAGAGCTGACTTCTAAGTGCTGTCAGTTACATTGCAAAGTAAGAATAAGAATAACTTTATTCATCCCCAAGGGGAAATTCAATAAGAATAAACTCTTCTCTTCACAGAAGTATCCATTAGTAGTTTAGAAAAATATAATAAAAATTCAGTAAAACTAAGTAAAATTGCAGAGCTACCAGACTTTGCTGCTACTAGTTGAAGCACATGTTCTAAAAAGAGTAAACAAATAAGCCCGCAACAAAAGAGAGATAAATAATAATAAATAAATAGGAGAGGGAAAAAAAAAAAGAAGAAGAAGAAGAAGAAGAGAAATAAATAAATAAATAAATAAATAAAGCAGCCAGGGGAAAAGGGACTGTTTGGGGTGTGTAGATGAAGTGTAAAACTGCAGCAATGCAAAGTCCAGTTCATAGTTCTTGTTGTAGCTGTGATTAATTGATTGTAGGAGTCAGTTATATTGTGAAGTGCATGGTAACTAAACACAAAAAGAAAGAAAGATTTAAATATGTAAGTAATATTACAGTATGTTATACTCCCCTTAAAAGGAAACTGAAGATGAAAAGACATTTACACATTAAGATGTATCAGTTTAAAAGGTTCATCTAATACAAATAGGCCTATCTGTATTTATGAAGCAAAATGAATAATGAGATAAAATTTCATACACATGTATAAGACGATGTAGAGCTGGGTTGTATATCAATATTATATGGATATGTTTAATATTAGACTAGATGTTGTCTTAGATGTTGGATATCATAGGTAAGTGTTATCTTTTCCTGGTTTTAACCTCCATTTGTTTGGTATGCATTTATAATCTAGTAAGTATTTTTTTTTTTTTTTCAAAAAAATAAGCAATATCTTTGAACAGTTAGTCATTTTTGAAAAAAAAAAAATTGTCCTCATTTGAGGACAGCAGGTTTTAATAGTCACACATGTAAAGTGTAAAACTGTTCATGTCAGTGCCTGTAAATAGATGTGCAAAAACAAAATTACAAACAATGCAACATTAGTTTTTGTAACGCTATGGGTTAGGGGTCACTTTTCAAGTCTGAAACTGTTCAAAACTGTTCATTTCAATGCCTGAACATGGCTGTACAAAAGCAAAATGCAAATAATATAACATATCTAAAAGCCTTGTGATTTGTTTGTCTTGTAACTCTGTATGGATTTTTTTTGGTCCATACTCCAAGCTAGAAATGATCTTTTTGTAAGTAGAAACAGTCTGTCACACCTAACTGGCCTGTGGGAAATGTTGCGATTATAGTCCCAATGTCCTCAAATTAGATCTTACTATATAATGACGAAAACTCTGTCTGTGTGTCTGTGGGTGTCTGTCTGTGTGTCTGTTCCACGTTTTTCTCCTCACTGACTTGGTCAATCCATATGAAATATGGCACAGTGGTAGAGGGTCATGGGAGGTTGCAAATGAAGCAATATTACATCAATTGGCCAAAGGGGTCGCTATAGCAACCAATTGAAATTGCAAACTTTAATGGTCATATCTCATGTCCCGTATGTCGTAGAGACATGAAACTTTGCACAGAGATGCCTCTCCTCATGAGGAACAAATTTGCCTCAAGAACCCATAACTTCCAGTTATATAGATTTTCGGCCATTTTGAATTTTTTGAAAAACACTTCAAATCGATCTCTTCCTAGGAAGTTTGACCGAGCTGCATGAAACTCGGTGAACATAATCTAGGGACCAATATCTAAAGTTCCCTCTTGGCAAAAGCTGGAAAACTTACTAAAACTGAGCTTCTATAAGGCAATGAATATTGTGGAGGGCGTGGCTCATCACATAAAGGTATATAACATCTCAAGGGTTTCACCGATCACCACACAACTTTGTAGGCATATGACCACACATAATCTGAGGGGACCCCTCCATTATTGACCCCATCAAACAAAATGGGGGCGCTAGAGAGCTAATTTCTTATCTAGGCCTAACCACCATATCGATTTTTACTAAACTTGGTAGATAAGTAGAACAGGACGCCTCAAGGTGACTGGAGAAATTTAACTCTAATTGGCAACTGGGTGGCGCTGTTACAACAGAAAAATGGCTAAAATGCGACAGATAGCTGTGGCTGCAATCATACCATCACATTCACAAAAACTCTGTCTGAATACATTGCTCTTCTTCATGGGTTCAGTTGGCTATTTAATCTGCAATTTCCTATGACCTGTATCCCAAACACACACCATGTGAAACTGTACGTGGGCAACTGTGCACTCAATGGGTATGGACTAGTGTTAATAAAGTCCCGATTTCCTCTGATGAGTACTTCTTAACAGCATCTTAGCTTGTTACTGTTGCTAAAATTGGTCAAATGTGTATACCATATCAAACTTCAAACATTATTAAATATAAATAAACAAGTTTAAACCAATCAGGTTTTGTACCTTGTCCACTTTTGTGTCGGGATTGGCAGTATACTGACTTGGCAGATGGCTGCCATCTTATTTCTTTTAAATGGTTTTGTGTATTGTGCTTTTGCTACTGCTAAATGGCACATTAAGTGTCCACAAATGAGGACAACAGGTCTAAGTTAAGAAGAATGAAGTATAAGTTGCAGCAAACCCAAAATGTAATGTCCGCATATGAGGATGCAGGGTCGCAGGTTAAAATTGGATCCACATTACTGGTAATAATTTATTTTTTTTCTTTTTGTGTAAATACTGAGGTTACAGTTTACATTTTACAGGAAGAGTATGAAAAAGTTTTAATTTGAAAATTAACTAAAGCTGTCAGAACAATATAGTGCAGTAAAAAGTACAATATTTGCCTCAGAGTAGAGGTATGATGTTGCATAGAATAGAAAAACTCAAGTTAAGTACAAGTACCTCAAATTGTAAGTACTTGAGTGAAAGTAATGAGTTACATTCCACCACTTTAAATCATCTCAGAGAGTGTATGTAGTACCGCTTCTCCAACATGTGGAAACATATGGAGTGTGGCGCCTCCTGGTGGCCACTGTCCCACCATGCATCAATTCTTCTGGTGGTCAGTGAGAGATTGTCATACACAAAGGTTGCAGATTCAAGTCCCTGCCCGTTTCCTCTGGCTAATATCACTGATTCACACTGTCAAAGGACAGAAAGTTAAACATATAAAGTGGTCCTTATGGCTCAATACCCTGCATTGTTTTTAAAATGGAATCAAGAAAATATGCTTCATGACTGAGAAAATACAAGCAAGAGCAATATGATGCTGAAATTATACTTTTATTTATTTTTTCACTATTAAAAAACAACAACAAAAGAAAACAATAACATCTCATTTGGACGTGAGTTAAAGTTTGGTTAAAAGCTGGAGTCAATACTCTCTGGCATTATAAGGTTCTTCATAACTATTTCCAAAAATCTTTTATCATATTTCATTTCTATCATCATGTATATATTACCTGTTTAATAAATAACATCAGGTTGATCACTATACAACTGGTGCATGACAAAAGCAAACAGTAAAATACTTCAAATGTAATAAATAAACAACAATGTCAATGCTTAGAATTGTACTGTTACAGCTTTTGTTGTCCTTGCTACAGTTACAAAAACACACCTTTGGTCTTTAACCATATATGTAGGTCTTACACTTACAGCTCCCGATACATGTAAATAAGTGCAATATTATCAGACACAAGGCTGGGATTTGTCTGAAACTGTTAAGTTTTGGCACTAACTCCAAAACTTCACATTTTACTCCAGTTCTGCAAGATCCTTCTGATACTATGTTGTGTCAAACTGACAAAGCAGATAACTATTCATCCCACAAAAATGTTCCCTTACAGGTCCAGTGTGTAGGGCTTAAGGGGGTATATTGGCAGAAATGGAATATAACTATCATAACCATGTTTTAATTAGTATATCTGAAACTATGAATCATTGTGTTTTTGTTACCTTAGCATGAGCCCTCAATATCTACATTATACATATATAACTAGATAGCAGACCCCAATGGGGCACCTTTTCCGTCCAATGGAGTTCATGTCTGGTGCATACACCAAAAAATAAAAAAGTTCAGCTATAGTTGTGTTCCTAAATATAAGCAAGGAAAACCCAATTTTATTTTGAACCAAAATATTCACCATAACTTATTAAAACCCCCTCTCCTGAAAATGGAATGGTTTTTTTTAGTTTTTTTTTATTTTTTTGCAACCTTTGCAAAAAAAGAAAGAAAGAAAAACAAAACAAAACATGGACCCGTGACCACATGCGTTGATATGACTACATCAGATTTAGCGAGGGCCCATTCACTGGACCTTGTGGGCGAGAAGTTTCAGTTGGTTGCAATCTGCAACCTCACCACTAGATGCTACTAAATCCTACACACTGGACCTTTAACAGTTTTCTCATGATGTCAAACATATTTCAAAGCTGAATATTTCACACATTTTAAGATGCTTGAAGACTAACACTGATCCCAAATAGGCTTTCTTTATCCTCCAAGAATCCAATCCTGGTTAAAAATTTCCTTCATCGCAAAAGATTATCTGTGAGATTACCTCAATATAAAATATCCATAGTTCTTCTTGTCATATGTGTACATCAACACAATATTAATGTTTTAAATCCAGCTCCTACAAAATACTTACAAAATAAAAGTTCCCTCTTCAATAAAAACAACACTGTATAAAAGCTTTTTGTTAACATATGCTACAGTAGATAACTTAACAGAGTGATGTCCAACACAGAAATGTGTCAAATAATTTGTTCGACACTGACAATAATAAAGCCTTTTTGTCACAGTGGCCAGGATCATCAGTGAAGCGTGCTCTCCTAGCACAGTACACATCAAAACACAAAGTAAACAAAATAAAACAAAGCAAAGAAAACTTATTGGAACTATGTCGCATATGCATGCATATCTCATCTAACAAGCTAACAATAAGGCAGCAGATTTATCTAGTGCACATCATCATTTTGCTGTTGCATAACTGAGCTAATTCTACCTCTAGTATAAAAACTCTACTTGGCTACTTAATAATATAGGTTGGTCATTCACTGGTAAAAAGGGATAACACATAAAAGTCGATTGTGTCAAGCTAAAATACAGTCACTGTGAATCAAATATTTAACAAAGAGTAATCTTTTCAAAGTATGTTTTCCATTTAACATAACACACTAAGCTACATGATAAAAGTACTTGGACGGGATTTAACTGCATTTCATTTGTACAGCACGTATCAGACAGGCAGAACTTTTTTTTCATCATGGAGAGCTGCTGTAACATCTTTCAGCAACTGTCATTTTTCATATGGCTTTGCTTTATAGTACTGAGGACGTTGTCACATATGCACTCACTATCAGATTTACACTGAGAGCTTTTTAGTAAATGGTCGCACTGCATGAATGCACAGATGTGAGGTAACCAGGAGCGTGTCTCAAATGGCACACTTCCGTTAGTACACTTCAATGTAATACACTACGCACAGTACGGACTTCTTGCGTGGTGCACTAATTTCAAATTGCAAATTGCAGACGGATGGTGGAGTATTATTGCCAACATTTGAATGCGAACTCAACCCACACATAAACCAAACTTACACCACAACTTTAATGCTGAATATAATATGCTGCTGTAGCTAGGAACATGTTAGCTAGCTAGCAAATGCTAACATTAGCCAGCAAGCTTATATTTGCACTCACATCATTGTTTGTGGTACTAAATTATTACAGATCAACAAACATTACAGTATTGATACTTAGTGCAAACAACATGTATAACTAACAAGCTTGTTGACAAGTCAACAAAGCTGACAAGTTTGCTGTCACAAAGATGGCGCCCGTTGAGGGACAGAAGTGTCCATCATTCCACACTCAGCTTTTGGACTGTTTTAAGTGTGTCAGTAGTACAGTGCATTTTCCTGTACTATGCAGTGTCTCAAATTATGAAGTGTTTAGTACAGAAGTATGCAATTTGAGACACACTGCAGGCCACTTCAGTGCCTGACTGTAAACATGCTCTCAGATTTCTTATGTAACCTGGTTTCTCTTAGTAATGTGATTACCAAGATGCATTTAAAAGTACCAAGGATGATACGGTTGAAAGCAGAAGAAGCTTAAAAGTGAATCTTGTAATTAAAATATTAGAATATACAATCTAGTATATTTTAATACAATACCAGACTGCCATATGTTCAAATGCTGATAGGGTTTTGATTGTTGTTATTCCTACTATTTATACTGGCTGTGAACAGATTCTTCCTAATGTGAGAAGGCTCAAAGGGACAGTTCACCCTGATATCAAATATACATATTTTTCCTCTTACCTGTAGTGCTATCTATCAGTCCAGTTAAACATTACTTTTAACTTGCTCCAATGACCGGTTGTTTTTTTATGTACCCTGTGCAGCAGATTCATGGGATCTCTTGCAAAACAACCTAAAGCTAAAGACTCTAACACTGCTTGGACGCTTTTGGCATTTACTCACTAACCGTCCACTATTGGCCTGTAACAGTTTACACTGACATTGTTTATTGTTTTACATGATTGTATTCAGGGGCGGAGCTATACTCTCAGCACAGGGGGGTGGAGCTTTCTCATGGGGCTCTTGTGACCAACTCATTTTAAGATGAGCTTGTTTTGAAGAACACATAGCCTAAAGAAAACAGGTTGCCAGTCAAATTAAAATGTTTCAGCACCAAGGACAGCGCTGTGCTGATCTAACAGCCATCAGCACCATCATCAGACCAGCTAAATTTGCGTAAGCGTAGGTCAATATGCACAAGGTATCAGCTGCTCAGCGATGGTATGCAGTTCAGAGCACACAGGAGCCCCACCAGTTCCTCCTTGGTCGTTAACAGTGACCACCATTGTGTATAAGAGGAAGGCTGACAGGGGGCCCCTGCCCATTGGGGGCCCTGAGGCAGCCGTACCAATGGCAGCTCTGCTTACAATTGTATTTCTATCTTGATTTGCTTCTGATTGTTTGCTTGATATCTTTGATCAAGCTCGGTAGGGTGTTATTGTTTAAAAGTCATCACTGAAAATCCCTAAATCTATTACCCAAGTCTTAAATTAAGGTTTGAATGAAAAAATTCATGAAGTGGGCATGTTTTTGTTTTCAGAAAAGTGACAAAAATTGTTGGCCAGCGGTTTCAGAGGCTATTCTGACCATCCGACAAGTACTTTGTTGAAGTATACCTGTGCCTTCAGACTCCTAAAGCCATAACTTAGCTTTAGCTGAACTATGGAATGTGTTTCTGTACATAGTGTTGATTGTGGACTCTGTCCCTCATCTTTTACTGTCCAGACACATAAGAAAAGGATCACTTCACAGCCAGTATGGAAAGCAGGAATTATTACCAATAGCTCTGTCAATGTACATATTACATCAGAGTAGGGTTTATAGATGATAACTTCATAGACAATCTCTCCTTCAAATACCATTTAGAAAGTCTCCACTTACATGTAGGCTTTCCACCCTACCCAAATAATGTTTGAATCACATACCAGCAGGTATTTCTGGACTGTTCTAAAAAAATACACAAAAATGAGATGCTTGTAGTTAAAAAAGAAGTCCTCCCTTCAGAGGGCGTGAGACCTCACAAGATTAAGAGTATAGCTATAAGTCATAAATGTTCCAAATCTAGCACCAACCTTTGGTCATGGTCTCGTAGATTAATATATATGTAGACTTCTGCAGGCTGGTTTAATGGGTTTTCATTAAAGTCTTGAGTCTGCTCTGAAAAATCAAGCCTGCATTAAACGAGGGATTAAAGAAGCACAACACAATCCTCTTCTTCTATAAAATATAGACAGGTTAAGGATATAGCTGCAACATTTGTAGGACAAGATTATTTTTTTTGCCTGGATCCGGGCAGATATGTCCAGGGATCTTTCCACGGTGGCCTCCATGCTTCATGTTACTATGGGGTCAAGATCAGATTAGGGTTTCTTGGTTGAAGACTTGGCCGTTGACTTAGCTGATGTTATTGAAGGACTGCTCTGACACGGGGTGACCTTAAGATGGACGAAGAGCGAGGAGGGTGAAAGGCTGGAGCCATCCAGCTTGAGAAGTCGGACATGACGATAACCTGAAGAGATTAAGGAAAGAAGGTCAGGAGGGGAAACCGTGAACCTCAAACAAGTCTTTGATACAACCCCACACGCACCTGTGCGGAGACTCGTAAAAGGCAGGGTGTATTGTCCTAAGAAGTCATTGCTTGAGGTATAGTCATGGTCCTCCACCATGAAGCGAACCAGAGCCAGGTCAGGGACATGGACGGTAAAGTTGAAGGTACAGTCCCATCGTGGGTTAAAGCCTGAAACAAAGAAAAAAAACTTACTTACAGACTTATTCACACCAATTTGTGTAATTTTGCTCAGTTTTTTCGTTGACTACCACTTGGTAGAGTTTTTAACCACATCTCATGGTGTTAAAGGAATACTTTACCCCCTCAAATAACCATTTGTATGTCAACTACTCATGCCATGTTATGCTGAAATTGTGATGAAAACTTCTCGCATGCCTCTGGTGTGAATTAAGAATCCAAAAACTGCAAAAATTCTTGATGAATTAAAGTCATAAGGATCCAAGTTACAACAGCAAAACTATATCAAAACATCTGTTAACAAACTCTCACACAACTCAAGCAGTAAAAGCAAAGTCTCATTTATCCAGTCGTATGCTCAGTAATTCCCAAACTGACAGCTCTTTCTGACGAGGAACTGAACAGAAACTGAAACTTATCTCTGCTCTCTTCATTGCCAGATTCTGTTGACAAAAACAGTGATTTTACCTTGCAGAACACCGGAGGTGCTGGTCTAACACTGTCTCGATTGGTAGTTTGTTTGTGTATTATGTGACTTTGGTGAATCTAAACCAACCTTTGAAAACAAAAAAAATCACACAGGAACACTAACTACCTGATTGAGGCAGTGTTACATCAGCAGCTCATGTGTTCCGTTACTGTATTTGTCAATGGAGTCTGGCGATGAAGAGAGCTTAGATGAGTTTCAGTTTCAATTCAGTTTTATATAGTAAGGTCTTAGCACAAATGCACGTGTTTGTGAGGTACTGAGCATACAACGGGATAAGTGTGACTTGGATGATACTACATGAGTTGTGTGAGTTTGTAAACAGATGTTTGGATTCTGTTTTGCTTTTGTTAAACTCAATTCTTTGTTCACTGTGGGGCATGTGAGAAAGAAAAAAGTTTTACTCATGAATTCAATGTAACACGGGGTGAGTAACTGATATACAAATGGGGGCCTGTAACAATACAAGTATATGCATTGAACCATTCGGAATGAGGCTTTTGGTTCAGTACGTATCGCAAACCAAAACATACAAAAATATACAATTTAAATTGTATAAAAGATAATGTTCTCCACTGCACTCAACAATGCAGCTCACATAACCTAACAGACAACATTTGTGTGGCCCTACCACCCCAAAAGAGAACATTCTACTCCAGCGCGACACACTAGGAAGCAGCTACACTAAGCTAGCTTGTTGCAAGATGTTTAGTAACACCATGACCAGATTAGAAACAGAAGATCCTCCGATAACCTGCAGGTCCCATGCCTGCAGCCACTTTGGTTTTGCTTTAAATTATGAGGGTGATGGCGAGAGTGGTGGATAAAAAAACAACGGCATGTTGCAATTGCTACATGACAGTAGGTTACATCAGTTGGAATACTTTAAACATGTCAACTCATTTACGACGACATCACCTCAGTGTGTCAACTGTTGAAACTAGACAAAATCAAGGAGCAACACATGCTACAAGCTAACGTTATCCCTGTGGCATTTACACAGCCATTTCTGACTGATTCTGACAGAGCAAAGGACATCACAGCGACAATTGGTAACAAGTGGTCACTGGGGGAATAAGCCTCCCTTTAATTAGCTAAAATACTAACTGTCCGACTATCTAAAGCTGTGTACACATTCCTAAATGTTGCTACTGAAGCCATTTAATTTGACAAAGGGTGTTGTGTTAATAGGGTAGGCATTTACCATTGTTGCTGACATGATCAGTTTTCTTCTTATTGTTGTCAATGGGAACACCATGTATCTCCACCCACACCTGAGGGTCCACAATTGAGCTGGGTTTGTCCCATTCTGGTTTAGGCAGCTGCTGAGCTGAAATAACCTGGAATAACAATAAAAGTCAAAGCTTTTTTTTAATTGGAAAGAAGATCTTATTTGGTTCAGATGCTGATACACTCTTGTGGCATAGATTTCCGTCATGGGTCATGGTTGGATTCAAGATGCAGCTAATTACAACTCGCGATCCATTAAAATGAAAAACATCCATTCACCAAGCTTAAAATTCTTTTGTAATTCTTTGTTAAGGAAAATCATTATCTTTCCAATGCAAATTGACAGTGATGCAAATATTTGTGGACCTGCAGTTTCACCTACAGTATATTTGCTACTTGGAACTAATTTAGGGCTGGTTTACAGCAGCGTCTTACCCGCACTGTGAGTAGGACAGGTCTGTGGCCTGTACCTCCACCAACATTCTCTGGGTTGAAGGTGGTGTCAGGGCGGCACATGAAGGGAGGCTTCAACACGTACCCACACTGATTATTCTGCAGGAACCTGCCTTGGTTTAGGTCCATCTGCTCACCAGGTGTCTGAAAATTTAAAGCAACTGGAGAAAAGCACAACTGTGTTAGCAGATGCATTTACCACGATGTTAAGACCAATGGTTAGTGGAAGTATGGGTCGCGCACAATTAGACAAAAGATAGGAAAGTAAGAACAAAGAAGAATGTGTGTCTGCAGTCCTATCACCAGAATAATATGCTAACATTGTAGGTTTCTGCAAACCGCAGATATGTTACATTTGTTAGTTTTATATGTATAACATAGTTCAAATTACATTTATATGAGCTGAGTTTCTCATCAGGAGGAAGAGGGGATGGTGCAGGGTGTGACACCTAGGTAAGAAGGCTGCCAAGTAGTATAAAACAGATGTGGTTTAGTTTATGCGCAAAAGCCATTTGGTAAGGGTAAGGAAAACATGTGTTTTTGGCTTAAAATACCCAGTTGGATGCTGCAAACCTGGCTGGACATGCCCCTAACTCTTGTTGAAAAATACCTGCTTTTATTGCAACAAGCATAGCTGCCAGCCTAGGGGAGATGGTTGCCAAGGTGTTTGAAAAAAAGCAGGTGTTTTTTCAGCTATTCTTTAACAAGAGTTTGGAATATATCCAACCATAAACCATTCTTAGACAAGAATCCGGGACATGTCTAGCTGTGTTTGTGGCAATCTGGAAATCCATCGGTAAAAAAAAAAAAAATTTTACAATGTTATGTAAATTGCAGAATCTGTCTTGAGAGATTATGTTTGTGGTGACAAAAGGGTATTTCTTAACAAGAGTTTGGGACATGTGCAGCTGGATTTGTAGCAACAAACTCTTAAATACGGTTTGGGACATGGGGACATGGGAACATGTGTAAAGGATTTGTGGCAATAAAAAAGTGGGGACATGTCCAGCTGGGTTTGTAGCAATGAAATTGTGGTTTGTTTTATAGGAGTTAAGGACATGTTTCACCATGTTAGTAGTGGCAATCGGAGGTATTTTTTTAACCAAGAGTTTGGGACACATCATGCTAATTTGTGGCAACAAAAACATGTTTTTTTATTGAGAGTTTGAGATATATTCAGCTGTATTAATAATGACATAAGGAGGTATTTTTTAACAAGGGTTTGGGACATATCTAGCCAGATTTGTAGAGACAAAAGTGTGTGTTTTTAAACAAGAACTGGGGACGTGAACAGCTGTGTTTGTAGCAAAAAACATGTTTTTTAATGATGTTTGGACATGTTAAGCTGTGTTTGTAGATAAAAAAAACGGGTAGTTTTTCTTGACAGTTTCTGTGTATTTTTTTTTACAAGAGTTTGGGAATTGTCCAGCTGGGTTTAAAGCAACAAAAGCTAGTATGTAAGCCAAAACATAATGATTTGTAATGAAATCTTAAACAAATGGCTTTTGAGCCTAAACTTAACCACACATTAACCAAATAATTTTCACAACATAAAATTGAGAATTGAGACGTAAAGTTTAAATTCATGAAACATACAAATGTGACATATCTGTGGTTTGCAGAAATGTACAGTGCCAACATTCATTCTGGCAATTCACCCTTTGCTAAGGCCCGCCCCCCTTAGTTACTGTTGCTAAGTCTGACAAACTTTCGGTTTCGGAGCTAGACTGGCATGGCGCTCCCACTGTTGCTAACTGCACTCCCTGGAGAAATACTCTCAAATTTTTTGGAAAAACAAAAAAGTGATTTCAGACAGACGCAGACAGAAGGGTCTACAATATGCATTTTAAGGATAAATTCAGGATGTCGACACAGCAATGAAATCAAGGTAACAAAATAAAGGTTGAAGCTAAAGCCTACAGTTCACAGAGTAAAAGTCTCTGCGCACAATGCGTTGACACGCACACAATATCAGCAAAGTTTCCCTGCTTCCCTTCACTGGTTCCTGTACA